TCTCACGGCGGGGGACACCAGAAATGGGCTTCACACATTGTACCCATGTGGGGAATCGAACCTGGGTCTTCGGTGTGATGAGCGAACGCTTTAACCACTAGGCTACCCCACCGCTCCATATTAACAGTAGGGGGGGGGGGGGGATACGTGCAACATACATAATATTGTAAGCGTAAATGAAGAGGGTTGGTGTTTATTTTAGGGGGCATATGGACAACTTTCTGGTTAATTCTGTAACTAGATACATCCAGAACGTGGGCGTTTGGCTGAGAACACCTAACACCTTTTGGGATTCAAAACTGTTGTCAGCGGATCCTGACACTGCGAAGGGACACGATGCTCAGGCATGTTGAGATCACTGGACCACCTGTTGTTGTTAGAGTTATCAAACATTGTTTGGTGTTTGTGAACAGGCATTTGGAAGTAGCCCAATGTATTAATGTTTATCTATCTCTTTTAGAGTTGAAGTTGGGCAGTGGGGTAGCTTAGTGGTTAAAGCGTTCGCTTCTCACGCTGAAGACCCGTGTTCGATTGTCCTCATGGGTAAAATGTGTGAAGACAATTTTTAGTATCCGTGATATACCTGGAATATTGCTAAAAGCGGCGTAAAAATATACTTGAAAGGATCTCGCTTTGATGACGACTTGTCAGTTAAGTAAAAACAAATAACCCACTGAAGCAATCTGTAGACGGCTACCAGTTTGGTGGGGTCCAAGAGAACAGAACCAGTTTTGAGAATGGTTTGACAATGAAACACGCCGATCAAAATACCTCGATGGAAAAAACATCGGCTCCGGTCGCATTACGGAAGGAATATTGCTAAAACAACAACGACTTGTTATTTGAAGATTGCAACAAAGAATGACTGTCCACATTTTCCTGTCAGAATACCCTTTTGTTTGGGTTACAAGATTTTCTTCTGTCGACACTAGCAGCATAAACACTCACCAGTTTCTATACATTACCACTTTAGTAGGTTTTTCATTCTCATCCTCGCGTAAACGCGGCGCGCGAATGACGCAACCGCCAAATTTATGATTGCCAAAAATCTACTAAGAACATTAGTTAGGTTGTTTTTTCGGTTTGTAACACCGTTTCCTTGCCACGAAAATGAGCATGATCCTTGCTACGCCAAAGAATGTGCATACTTTACTGTTTTGCTGGCTGTTTCCCCTTACCATCATGCTTCATTAGGAGGCATTTTAATCTATTTTCGACATAAGGTTAATAGATCTGCTATTTAAAACTACATGATCATAACATGCAGCGCAACGTGTTCCTGGCTCTTAGATATATATTAAGTCGCTGTAGCCCCGCTGGTGGCCGACAATGGCGACTTCAATCGAATGGCACGAGTGTGATGGAAAGAACAGCTGCTGATCGCCTTCCTTGGCTTGATATATACTGTGCCCTTGAACCTGGATCAGTAGAACCATCATCTTAAAGGTCACATCCTAGCCTTCGTAGATGCTGCTTTGCTATCTGGAAGAAATAGCAGCGTCCTGTTGCGGTCTGTTGTGTTGTTGTTTCGGCGAATTTATGTCTGTAACGATTTAGTGTGAGTTTTGTTTTATGCCGCTGCTGAAATACTTCTGCAGTCACATGACGTTATAATCGCCTGGCTCGAACTTGGTTCTACAGTGGGAATAGCGAACACATTAACCTTTAGGCCACCCATTTCAAATGACCTTGTATCAGTTGTGTTAAATGTTGGTGGATCTGAGAGTGAACTAGCTAATATAATAAAACCTTACCTCATATTAAGTTGAAAACTTTAACAAAATCTGGAACTGCCTGTAATTATGAATGAAACAGCCGAGTAAAAGAGAGATGGTTATGTTCATGATAAAATATTTTTGTATTTGGTGTTGTATATTAACATTTTGACGTTTCCACTGCCTTTCGATGTACATGTAATCCATTTTAGAGCAGGGGGTTGGTTACTATTTTGTTATGCATTACGAAATATGTTTTTGGGGGGGATGTACGACTGACCATAGGGCCATAGTGGTATACGGAAACAGCTCCTAGAAACTCTCCTTGACTTGCACTAGAAATATCAACATAGTGTGACGTGTTTACGACCGATAATATCTACGCACCACAAATAGTTTGTTCAATTCATTCAGTGTTATTTCAATTGAGCAAGTCAAGTGCTCGCTCGTACGTTCCATTCATTAATTCATCCATTGACTAGTGTCAAGAGCTTTCGAGTGCCACCTCCGCTCCAGCCGACCTGATTGGGCTTCCAAACCGGAAGTCGCCTGCAGTAATTGCCCGGTGACTTCTGGGAGTGACGGTTTGGGAGTGACAGCGGGGTAGCGGGCGGACTTCCTCGCCCAGCGTCAACATCATCCGTCCACAGCTTACGGCGTGCCGATTGCCTCTTATTATTGCGGTTGCTTGTTTTTCCGTAGCTAATTGCCCTCGTGAGCTTGCGTCCTATAGGAATGAAGAATACATGTGTCCGGTGTAGGGTGTTTTGCATGATTACTGTGACATTCTAAATAACTCTTTTTGTCCACGAGGCAGGTGAAAAATATACACCGCTTTCCATAATCACAAAACCTGCTGCTGAAATAGTCCATTTTCTCTCAATCGTGAGCTTGTGATTTTGAATCACTACCACACTGTGATGACACCAGGTGTTTGCGAAGCGTATCCTGCACCACCGTATCTTGCTCATACATACCTACGGCACTACGTCATGGCATTGCGCCTTGGGTATATTTTTTAACATTTCAAATGCCAACATCCACTAACTTATGTAAGACCAGGTTTCACAAGCCTCTACGTGATTCAAATCACTCAGTGTTTGGAGTTCAAAATAATGTCATTAAAAAATTAAATTAAAATTTCTCGTGTGTACTAATTAGTGAGTATTGTTTTACGCGCTTTTAGCAATATTCCATCAATATCACGGCGGGGGACACCAGAAATGGGCTTCACACATTGTACCCATGTGGGAATCGAACCCGGGTCTTCGGCGGGACGAGCGAACGCTTTAACCACTAGGCTACCCTGTCGACCCAACATAGTGTGGGAAGAAACACAAAGCCTCTCAGGTCGAGGACGATTACCATTGAGTGAGTGAGTGAGTGAGTGAGTTGGGTTTTACGCCGCTTTTAGCAATATTCCAGCAATGTCACGGCGGGGGACACCAGAAATGGGCTCCACACATTGTGCTCAAGAGGTGAATCGAACCCTGGTCTTCGGCGGGAGTAGCGAACGCATTAAGCACAAGGCTACTCCTTCACACCCAATGAGTCCCAGAAGGGAAGTGCTCATTTGCCCCGTCATAAACCGGACAGTTGAGTCAATGTTGTTCTACGTCATGTAGCAGTCATCTAGTGAGTGAGTTGGGTTTTCTGCCGCTTTTAGCAATATTCCTGCCATATCACGGCGGGGACACCAGAAATGGGCTTCACACATTCTACCCATGTGGGGAATCGAACCCTGGTCTTCGGCGTGACGAGCGAACGCTTTAACCACTAGCTTCAGACCTTGTACCCACGTTGGGAATCGAACCCGGCGCTTCCCCATGACGAGCGAACGCTTCACCCACTATACTACCCTAACTATGCACTAAACGAATGTATCCTGATGGGGACTGTATGCATATCCTCATTCAGGGCGAGTTACTATCCTTTAGGGACTGCGGTGATCATGCGCACAATAAGATTCTAATCTCAGTGTGTAAGTTGCACTGGTGTTATGGAGGCCCAGTGCTGATATCTTCCTGTGAACAGCTCTCGTCTGTTAGGTTAATCTTCAGACCATCAGATAACGCACTCCTGTCTTCTTTTGTTTATTGTGAGGGGAAGCTACATCCACTAGACAAAAGGTATAGAGGAAGTGTACAACACAGAAAATAAACACCATAGCTAAAATTAGGTAGTTGTGATAATTTTGGCGTGATCTAAACTAATGGCAGTGTTGACTAGTGCAACCTGACTGCAATAAATCGTGAACTCTCATGAACGAGAAAACTACTGCTGATGATATTAAATTCGATAATGCTATTGCTAAATGACACACGTCTGCACATATAGAAAACGGATAAATATAGCTTGCCCTTTGCGGTTTACTATCTTATATGAGATATGTTGTATTGTAAATAGCATCTATTTAGTCTAGGCTGGTATACACTGTCGCATATGTATATATGTTCCTGTGTTCTGACTATTTGTTTCTGCATATTGTCTTAGTGAAGGGGATAGTGGGTGTGTTGTTCTGATTGGCTAACTACCACCGGCTGCCAAGCCTGGCTCAATACCAGTATTATTTTAGTTCAGAGTGTGTATATAAACAGCCGCCATCTCGCACTGTCCGAGCCATGTACACACGATCCAACGAGAGAGTGAAAACTCTTCACGGAAGTCACCGTGTGTTGCTTCTTTTAATGGTTTTAACAGTTTCATTTGTATTTTTGGATATTAATCCTGTTATGTCCCGTATTCCCGTTTTGCCGTCTTGTTGAGGTGAAAACAGCTCCTTATTTTTGGTTGGATTCTTTCGGTTATTTCCGAGAGCAATCATATGGAGATTGGTTCTCAACAGAACGTGACCTAGACTTACGCTCATTCTCTAAAAACCTTTTTTTGTAGACACAAAGAACTGCATTTTAATTGTAAAGGATCCTCAATAAGATGAGGGAAATCTAGACTTGCTGTTTTTGGATATTAGTTAGGGTTAGGCGGAAGGGAAGACTTACAGACACTCCCCGACGCACAAACACACGCACGCGCACGCGCACACACACATTGTCAGCTGACTGTCTCAGAGACACAAGTTTGTATGGCGAATTTCATTATTACTAAACTTTATATACTCTTTCTACAGACTTTGAAGTCAGACATCAGTTCTCTGATGCTTCAATTACACGTATTGAGGTGTCCTTACCGGTGTAAAATTGATTGGAAAGAGTAAGTTTCTATTTAGAACTGATATCCTACAGACTAGTTATGCAATTAAAATATATATTTCTATTGTATTTCCAGGCTGTTTTGGACAAGTATGGCTATCTACGATGCAAGCTAACAAAGACCAACCCGTTGCAGATTTTTAGAACCGACTTTTCATCTATTCATAATCTGAAACTGCAAGAGGAAGGAGGTCGAAGTACATGTAACGAAGAACATGTGGCAAAGGCTTTGAGAGAATACCAGAGAAACTATAATTTACCTGAGACAGGTGAGCTGGATGAGGACACGCGAGTGTTGATGAGTAGTTCCCGTTGTGGGAACAAGGACAAAGAATCGGAATCGTCTACTCTGAACACCACAAGTGTGGCTAAAGATAAGAAAGACAATCCGGGTTCGAATCCCCAGAGAGAGCATAGTGGTAGGCATCGAGGAGGACTTCGTGACAGCAATAAGTCTGCCCCTCCCACCCAGAGACTCTGGCGTCGGTCGACCAGTAACTCTCACCTGATGAAAGTGTTAGTAGGTAAACCTAATAAGTCATCTCTGAAAAGGAGAAGACGCCATGTTCAGGAATACATTGATAAGCTTAAAGAAATAGACCCTAAAATACTTAATCCATTGACTGTGTCAGAGCGAAAGAAGCGCTCGGTAATAGTAAAAGCAAAGCACACCGGTGGACCTTTGCCTTTCTGGAAATCAAGAGATGAGAATGGTCAGATGATCAACAAAGAGGTCATTCGCTGGAGGCTTCTGACCAATGGGTACAGCACTAGGATACCGGTTGAGGACCAAAGGGCGACCATTGATTTAGCTTTCAGGATGTGGAGCGAGGTTATCCCACCCAAGTTTGTTGAGGACACTGGTGGTGATATACGAGACGTTGATATTGAAATAGCGTTTGGACGAGGTAAGTAGATTGTGGTTTTGGTTGTCTGTGGTAACATCCTTCAGTTGTGCTTTCAGTGGATGCTAATGAGGCTAGGGTTCTCAGGTGACTTTTAGTCTGCATCTGTTCTTTCTGTGGGCCAGTAGATTCTAATCCACTGATGTTTCTGATTTCCGTGGTACGATGTTGTATGCAGGAAAGATTTATGTCTTATTTAGAAATGTCTGCATTGCTGTAACTGGATGGGTGTAGTCTTTGGCCCAACAGAGTTGGTTGGCTTAAGAACTGGATAGTAAGTGATTTTCGCCGCCTTTGCGGTAATCAGAACAATATCACGGCGTGAGACCCGTGATTAGCTCAATACGTTGTATCTGTGTGGGAGGCTAAAACAGGCATTTGACATGAAGGACGAACGCTTAAACCACTGTGCTACCTCACCGAACGTTAGGGGAACTACTAAGGGGGGATGACTGCCCTCAATAGAGCTATGCGAAAGCATGTCCTCTCTGTAATAACCTGGCCTATTAGCTGTTAATCATGGCGTGAGTGAATATTTGGTGAAGGGTTGTGTCTCTTAATACTGCCAGGATCAACTGATCGTTGGTTCGAATCCAATACTGATCCTATTAGGATCCGCGGGCTTCAGTAGCTTGTCCGTCATTATAGGCTCGTCTTGCACATGAAGTCAGCGTAATATACTACAAAAATACTGTAGCCAGCTATAACCTTACTCATCAGACCCGTGGGGCAGGTGGTTGTTCATTTCATCATTTACATGTTGATATGAGTATTACTGTAAGCATCAATCGCACTTGGCGACCTGATATCATGTCCCTGGTATCATGTCCCTTATATCATGTCCCTGATATAGTTCACTAAGGAGCAGAGCGTCACTCTCTACAGTCTCATTCTGTGGTAATTTAGGGGAGCATAGTGGATAAAGCGTTCGCTCGTCAAGGCCCGGGTTCGATTCCCCACATAAGGTCAATATGTGGAGTTCATTTCTGCTGTCCCCCGCCGTTATATTGCTGGAATTGCTAGTAGTGGCTACAACCCAGCTCAATCACTTCTAGGGACCATGGGGGGCGGTGGGGTAGCCTAGTGGTTACAGCGTTAGTTCGTCAGACTCACAATCAAAGTTCGACTCCTTCGTGGGTACAGTATTTTACACATTGTTCTTTTCTGGTAGCCCCCGTCGTGATATTGCTAGAATATTTCTAAAAGCGGCGTCAAACTATACCCACTCATTTACAGTTAAATGGTAGCTATCATTAAGATTTCTTCATTCTAATTTGCTACGACAGGGGTCTGAAACGTAGAAATGATAATATTAGAAAATCGAGATTTATTGTTTTCCGGCGTTATCGTTTATTTTTTACGTTTGTAACGAAATAGTCAGTTGATACAGCACTAACCGAAAGCGAGGCAATGATGAATCACGGCGCATTTCCATACAAATCCCCCGAGATCTCATCACTGCCCGTGTATAATATGACAGAGTCAAGAGCTTACTGACGCTCATTCCGACAGCAAGTCAATACCAACCGATCAACCTAAAACCAGCCGATGAAGCTCGTCTCTTGCAATATCATGTAGCCGCTATCATAGGGTTAGACATCAACCACCTTGTTTATGGAGCATTGCTGTTATCTAATCGACTTAATATCGGAATGATTTATATCTGGTGTTTTTTCCCTCAGACTTATTAAAATGAGGATTTTTCAGTGGTACAATTATAGGCTCATACCACGCTGTCACATAAGCTCTATTTTTAAGACATAATTTGTCATGCGCATTCTGGTTATTACCGCATTAAGAGTTAGGTATTCATGATATTCATCACTTTTAAACTAGTCTGAAGAGTGAGTAAGTGGCTTCTCTATGGTAATAGGCGGTTCCACTTTAAGGGCGAAATCCACACTGAATTATCACTTATGACTCACGTGATTTCCGACGCTCTTGAGTGATGGCGCGTGCTGCGTCATGAACGGCACTTATACGATGGTCACACGGGAACATACGCCAACTTCGTTGTTGCACAACGTGGTGCTATGGAGAGCGATGGATATAATGTGCAATATAATTTAGTATAATAATTAATTTATTTGAGTTCCAAGTCTTATTCTCTTTTACCGATTTACATACGTTAGTTATAAGTAGATGAGACCAGTTAAACTGCTTTAACTTTGTCGTATTTAGATCTAAATATAAAGATTCAGAAAGGAGACGAATAACTTCAACTTTCCCAGTGACCCATCATGGCGAGCAAGGGCGGTGGGGTAGCCTAGTGGTTAAAGCGTTTGTCACGCCGAAGACCCTGGTTCGATTCCCCACACGTGTGAAGCCCATTTCTGGTGACCCCAGCCCTGATATTGCTTGAATATTGCTAAAAGCAGCGCAAAACCAAACTCACTCACTCATGGCGAGCAATGTGTCTCCAGTCATTGGTGTCATTTCACAACTTATGCAGAAAAATCGAGGTTGGTCCTTCTACTTTGGTTTCAAAGAACATCATGCGATTCTTGCTCAGAGGTTCTTTGATAAAGGTTACAACTTTCATGGCATCAGTAAAGCTTTGACAGAATTATTGTAGGCATGTAGAGGGCATTTTCAAATTTGATGCAGAGGTGCCAAATATGATGTTCCATGCAATTTCCTATTTTGACTCGTATGTGTTCCCGGTTGTTGTATTTTTTTCAGGTGAAATATTGACTTGACTTTGCATGTGTTTATGACGGGTGCCACCGGTGGTGCCGGATATGCATTAACTGAGAGCATCATGTTTTCATACTGATTCGTAATCGTACAATGGACTTTTGGTAGATATTTCGTACGATTATTGAAATGATTTTGTCGTTTTGATAACAAACTTATACTATTAGTGAAATAAGACAATTATGCTTCACTGTATGAGCAAGAGATATGTACATTTCGTGTAATTGACAATATGTGACATTCGAGGTGGCATTAGATGATTTCTTGCCTAGTTTGACCAAAGTCAGTATACAATAATAGAGGCGACCATTACCCATATACCTTGACATGCACAGAGGTGGAGCTGAATCGTAGCTTAATGGTTAAAGCGTTCGCTCGTTACGCCGAAGATCAGTGTTCTATTCAATACATGGGTACATGTCTGAAACCAATTTCTGGTGATATTGTTAAATCATACTCACAGGTGGTTATAAAAAGTATGCCAGTAATTCTAAAGAAGAAAAATATTAACAAGACACCTTGACATACATAGACATGACCTTAACCATTAAGCCATACACTATAACCTCCTTTCCCTGACTTGTATAGAAGAGGACTATAACCAACATACCATGACGATATTACTAACATGCCATGAATCAGAAACCATATACAATAAACCAAGCATGCACCAACAATTATAATACATACAATCCAAACCAATTTGACCTACAATCAAACACAATCAGGGACCGTATCCACAAAGTGTTCGTAGCACAACGTCATTCGTTAGCCAATGATATAATAGTATACAGTTACGATAGGTCGTTACGAACGCTTTTAGGATCGGGGCCCAGGCTAGCTGTTCTCGAAACGTTCGTAGCCCTACGAACTTCTTAAGCCCATTCTTAACACATTGGCTACGATCAAAGTTAAGGATTCTTAGGGCTAAGAACGTTTCGAGAATACGGGCCCTGGTGACTACACAGTCGATATTCGTACCAGTGACACCGTCATACTCTACGCCATATAGCTTAGCAACAATTGAGGCTGTGCCCAAACTTGGAGCTAGGACGTTTCAGGTGGATATAAACTCGCATGGTCCAATGCGAGCAATACTTAACTCCTGACTAACCGCATCCCTCTCTGAATAGAACGTCGTTCATCTGAGGTGTCTAAACTGAGGTGCATGACTGCACTTAAACTAACGATTGGTCTTTGAATATATATGATTTTAATAGTAACAAATAATCCCATTTAAACTGGAAAGGAGCCCCAGTGAGAAGAGAGATTCAGAACCTGGGTCCCGATCCACAAAGCGTTCGTAGCGCTAAGATGATCGTAACTCCCATACTTTAACATAGACTTACGACAGTCGTAGCGCTAAGATGATCGTAACTCCCATACTTTAACATAGACTTACGACAGTCGTAGCGCTAAGATGATCGTAACTCCCATACTTTAACATAGACTTACGACAGTCGTAGCGCTCAGATGATCGTAACTCCCATACTTTAACATAGTCTTACGTTAGCGTTACGATCGCTTTGTGAATCAGGCCCCTAAACCATACGAAATCTAGACTTCATTTGGGGATTGAGCATTGGAGGAAGGGCTAATCAGTAGGGGAAAATAATGTGGCTCGGGGACTGTGAGACAGACTAGACAGCAGCGTGCATCTTCTTAGCGTGTGATATCCTCTTAATCAATACCAGATGTTAATGATGCAAGGAATGAGGCTTGTGGTTACTACTTTCCTGTTTCGTTTGAGGATTACATGCTTGTTTTCTGTTTCACTTAATAGCAAGAATACATCGTATTTCATACAGATCGCTTACTGGCTATCAAATTCCTTGAACTCTTTACGTTAATGAGATATGGGTGCTTAGTGGTCGCAGTTCACTGTGTTCCGTCCATCTTGCCAGATCGCGAGTTCAAATCCCTGTTGTGCTTCACGGTTTGTCTGCCCCATACCTTCGTGAAAGGTCTGAGTTTCGAGACTTGTATCACCTCGGACTTCCCTCCCTCATCAAGCTGGCATGAGGTACCTGGAGTCTACTCAAAGAGATGTTTACCCGTGAAGATCCGGGTTAGAATTGGTCTTCAGCAACCCATGCTTGTCGTAAGAGGCGACTAACGGGATCTGGTGGTCAGGCTCACTGACTTGGTTGACACATATCATCGTATACCAATTGCGTACATCGATGCTTATGATGTCAATCACTAGACTGTTTGGACCAGACTCGAGTATTTACAGACCGCCGCCATTTTTATATCGTTCCGATACATTGTGCCAGCTCTCAGCCCAGCGTGACAACGTGGAGGCTGACAACAAGCCGAGGGTGATAATCGGTTGGTTGGCACATGTCATCGTATCCCAATTGCATAGATCGATGCTTATGTTGTTGATCACTGGATTGTCTGTTCCAGAGTCGATTATTTACAGACCGCCGCCATATAGCTGGAATATTGCTGAGGTACATTAACCAAAACAAACCAAAGATATGTTAAACCAAATTCACTCATTTACTATACATGTATGGCAACGTTACTAGATCTGATATTGAAGGACCTACCATATTGATATCATGGCATGCAAGGACCAGTCTTCTCCTCTGTGCTTTAAGGCATAATATTATCTGAAGAACAGTGCCTGCAAGCACTTAATGCTTGGTGATTTATGTTGCCCCCGTTTAGCTCTGGTGCATTCGGTACGTCTATATCACCAAAATACCCTTTTGAGTTTCCCAAAATATACCCCTTAAAACAACATACACGAAAACACTTCCTAAAAACAGTTTAAAGTCTAAAACCAGGATATTGGTGGTGTCTAGCCATCACTGTCATTGCTCTTGCAATTTATCATTCACCAATTGCTAAAATAAATCAGAAAAAAACACACTACAAATAGGCTTGACAAGATTGACGTTGTGTTAAGGTACCAAAAGAGAACTTAGAAATTATCATACTGTCAGTTGGGTACCTTTACTTGGGAGAAAGAATTGTTTATGCCCAGTCGTTCTGAACCTGGTCAAAGAAACGGTAGCTGGAAGTTCTTTTTGATGTGATCAGTATTAGCAACAAGGCGTTTTACAAGTGAAGCCTGTAGCGATTGTGTTCATTAGTCAAACAGGTCTTCAACAAACGATGTAGAGAAGCAGTTGGCTACATTGGTGCTATATGGGGAACCAAACTAAAAGAGCCCGGATGTAAATTTAGCAACGGGCAAATGACTGAATTGCCTTTCCGTGGCTACGAGAGTGAAGTTGTATTCTCATTCCCTGGCTCAGCGCTTTGAAGTCTTTCCTGCACCAGAACAAAAGTCTTACTGTTAAGGAGTCAAGTTTCTACTAATTCTCGCAAAGCCCGTGTACCAAACCTTTCGCTGAAAGCTGCCGCTTTGAAGAGTTTGGTTGTCTTTATTAAGATGGTATATTGTGCCGGTGCCAAACTAACTGGTTCTTGAAATACCGTTGGTTTATTTGGTCGAAGGCTGAGCGGAGGAGCACTCTGAGTACCTCTGTTACGTTAGTTGGAGAGCTCCGTGTCTTGTGAGCGCGGTTATCAGTCTACAAGTGTTACCCTATGGATCGGGGCTTGTTAAAGTGCTGTAATTGGTCCCGTGGTATCCCAGGACATCGCGTCGTTATGGCTACAAGGTGGCGCTACAAGAACGTGCTTCAACTAGGTTTATGTTGGTTGTTATTCTGTATACGCATTTTCAAGAAGCCAAATTTGACTTGAATTTCAGAAAAAAAACTAAAAACAAGCAGATATTAAAAAACAAGAGCTGAACAAATAACTCGAACTTTTACAGCGTTGACGTGTTTACAGAGATAAATTAAAACTTTAATCTAACCTTGCCCCGAATGTAGGTCAGGTTTGAAGTTGGTATTAACACAATACATGTGAGGCTGACTTTGCTCACTTTTTTAAAGTTTGAATGTTTGTTTTGCAAAAATTACAGTTTATTGGCTGAAAAACAAAATAAATGCTTGCAACATCTTTGAGAGACAAATGATTGTCTCAACCAGCATCCCACCATCCAAGGAGTATTATAAGGAGCATCTCGGACTAAAGACTGACACATAGAGATTTAAAGGCAGTGCTCATGGTATGATGTCTATTGCAATCCTTGGTCTTTATCGATGTGTCAGGGATCTGTGTGAAACTGAGCCATTGTCCCTATATACTTGCACACCTGGATCCGGGTTAGAATAGGTCTTCAGCAACACATGCTTGTCCTTACAGGCTCGAGTGGTCAGGCTCGCTGACTTGGTTGACACATGCCATCGTATCGAAATTGCGTTTATCGACCCTGATGCTGTTGATCACTGGATAGACTGGATTATTTACAGATCACAGCTGGTTTACAGTGCAGCGTTAAACAACACACGAACAACCAGATACCTGGATCTGAAACTGTAGACCGACTTGCCCAAATCTAATCTCCCTTTAAGACAAGCAGCCAATGCAGTGTGATTAGGCTATAAAAATAACCCCCAAAACTCAGTTTAACCAAAAAGTTCTTGACATGTTTATAAACTTTGATGAAAATATTTGACTGATTTTGTGCTTCTGCAAGCCTGCTATTCCAAAGGTATGCGATATCTGACTTCAACGGACACAGTGTTCTTCATCAAGGAATCTTTGTGTCAGAACAGGCTGGTTACTTTCGTTTGTAATTGGTCTAAAGCCGTTCTGCTGTTTCTCTTTTTGCCGTTGAGCCTATCCGTATGGAAGATCAGAACATGCGCTATAAAAATATGTCCTCTTGAATAGCGTTCATCCATGTTAATTCTCAAGGATATTTTTACATACCTGAACTCCCTGCATTCCTGATACATGCACGAAGAACATGTGACCCACAGCACTTGTATTGTCTCAACACTCGACGGCTGTTGCCTCAAGGCTTACTCCAGACTGTCATCACTGCACTTGCCAAACATCATGGTTGGCATTCTGTAGACTGTCATGGTGTAGCTTGATTGCAAACACTGATCCCCGGCAAAATGATACGGGGCTGTGTTAAGGTTTTGTTTGAATTTGACAGCCGCATGGGACGTTTGTATCAGAGTATGGGGCTTGGTTTTCTCTACTTTATATTTCGGGGCGGTGGGGTAGCCTAGTGGTTAAAGCGTTGGCTCGTCACGCCGAAGACCCGGGTTCGAATCCCCACATGGGTACAATGAGTGAAGCCCATTTCTGGTGTCCCCCCGCCGTGATGTTGCTGGATTATTGCTAAAAGCGGCGTAAAACCAAACTCAGTCAGTCAGTCAGTCCTTTATATTTCCAGGCATTCATATCAGTCTACATTTCAAATGCAGCCGCATCTAATAATGGCGCTGTCAGCAAAGGTCAAGGCCATCTATGAGGTCATTTTCGCAACATGCTTGTGCCATTCATTGTCTGTTTCTGTTGCTTTTGAGACTTTGTTCATAGTTGGATTTTCAGAAGAGTAAGGTGAAAGGGTATTGAAGGAATGTCTGGTTCAGGCCTGGAACTATATGTTAGACTTAACAGTTTTGGTAAAGGGGCTTCTTCTGATTTTGCAAGAACTCTATTTTTGTCTCAAGACTTACCTTAGATTGTCATTGTGTTGGCAGATACTACAAACTAATTTTGTCACAAAATAAGAAACTACACTTGTCGTACATTAGGATTTACAGCGGGCCAGTTGACCTTCTATTGTATACTCTCGTCATCTCAGCACCTGCTGGTTCCGAGATTCCATGGTACATAAACATCTGCACTATAGCACTGTCAAATCTGACAGGAAAACCATGTCATTCAAATCCCAACCAAACGTAGCTACTATCAGTTCTCCCCTGTTGTGAATACGGCTCTTGCCATGAGAACCGACGAAAATGGGACTCGGATGGGCCCGTCAGAATGTTCTCATAAAACCCCTGAGGTAGCACAAACATTCCTGCTTTTGGCTTTAAACCACTTGCACTCACTCACTCACTCGGTGCCCTGACTCCTAGTAACCAACGCAACCTACTCCAATTGTTAAACAATTGTGCTTAGGTAGATTTTCTTCAGCGGATATATACAAACGATTATATAACCATTCTTCGATCTCCACAGGTAACCATCAAAATTGTCCCCATAAATTCGACGGCAGTGGGGGCGAGATAGCCCATTCCTGGAAAGCCGGCAACATGCACTTCGACGACGAGGAAAACTTTAAGTCTATCCGATCCTACAGCCCTGAAGGGATTTATCTTCTCCGTGTGGCGGTACATGAGATCGGACATGTGCTGGGTCTTGCTCACCGGAACAAGTCGTATTCCATAATGTATGCTATCTACCACGGCTTCGAGATGCAACAGCCGGAGTTTGAACTTGGCTGGGAGGACCGGAAGGCCATTCAAAAGATATATGGTAAGACTTCTATTGAGCAGATTCTGATCAGCAAGGAACTGTTAACAAATAGCATAATAAATCATAGATTTAAATGTCGCATCTTATTCACAGTATCCCCGCTCCATAGCGCTCAGTCATATGCTCTTTTGAAGGAAATAGTCTTGAGTGTTTACCGGTAGCTGCTGTTACCCTTTGATCTCCTGGCATCCACTGGTAGCTCATTCAGTTCAGATTCTGTTTCCACACGAGACCAATTAAATATTTTGTTACGCTTATTTGTATTTATTATAGTAAAGATACGCTGAATGTTTGGTAAAGACAACTGTTTTATTATGTTTCTTAACTGAATATATTGCTTTGCCTCGTATTCAGTATTGGTTGAAATGACCGACTGAAATGTGGATTGGATGGTTATGATACGCGACGTGGTTGATTACCTGCTGTCCATGACATCCACCATTCGATTTCATAGTCTCAACTCAAGTGTTTTCAAAGCTAGATGACTGCTACATGACGTAGAACAACATTGACTCAGCTGTCCGGTTTATGACGGGGCAAATGAATACTTCCCTTCTGGGACTCATTGGTCGAGAAGGAGCAGCCTAGTGGTTAATGCGTTCGCTACTCCCACCGAAGACGAGGGTTCGATTCACCTCTTGAGCACAATGTGTGAAGCCCATTTCTGGTGTCCCCGCCGTGATATTGCTGGAATATTGCCGAAGGCGGCGTAAAACCCAACTCACTTACGCACTTACTGACTCCAAGATTCAATGGTGCTATGTTTTCATTGTTTTCCAGGCGTGTGCAAAGGACACTTCGATACGTTGTTCGACTGGGTGAGGAAACGCCCCGACAACCAGTTCATCTACAACACATACTTCTTCCGCCAGAACAGGTACTGGATGTACGAAAACCATGCCAACAGAACGCGATACGGCGACCCCCTGTACATTGCACGGGAGTGGGACGGCGTCCCCGACGGCATCGACGCCTACATCCATGTCTGGTACTTCACAGACACCACCATGGCTAATGAAGCTTATTTCTTTAAAGGTTAGACTATAGACCTTGACACTGACTTAACAAGGGTGAAGAAGCACAGGGAGGTCTCTCAGGGGGTAGTGGGTTCGCTTGTTGCAATATGTGACTGCTTTCAGGGCGGGAAATTAGCTCAGAAATTGAGGAGGAGCTCAGAAACGGATGATTCACCTGTTACAATTAGTCACTGCTTTCAGGGTAGGGAGGTAGCACAGTGGGTAGTGGGTTCGCTTGTTACAATCAGTCACTGCTTTCAGGGTAGGGAGGTAGCACAGTGGGTAGTGGGTTCGCTTGTTACAATCAGTCACTGCTTTCAGGGTAGGGAGGTAGCACAGTGGGTAGTGGGTTCGCTTGTTACGATCAGTCACTGCTTTCAGGGTAGGGAGGTAGCACAGAGGGTAGTGGGTTCACTTGTTACAATCAGTCACTGCGTTCAGGGTAGGAAGGTAGCACAGAGGGTAGTGGGTTCACTTGTTGCAATCAGTCACTGCTTTCAGGGTAGGGAGGTAGCACAGTGGGTAGTGGGTTCACTTGTTGCAATCAGTCACTGCGTTCAGGGTAGGAAGGTAGCACAGAGGGTAGTGGGTTCACTTGTTGCAATCAGTCACTGCTTTTAGGGTAGGGAGGTAGCACAGTGGGTAGTGGGTTCCCTGGTTGCAATCAGTCACTGCTTATAGGGTAGGGAGGCAGCACAGTGGGTAGTGGGTTCGCTTGTTACCACAGTGGGTAGTGGGTTCGCTTGTTACAATCAGTCACTGCTTTCAGGGTGGGGAGGTAGCACAGTGGGTAGTGAGTTCGCTTGTTACAATCAGTCACTGCTTTCAGGGTAGGGAGGTAGCACAGTGGGTAGTGGGTTTGCTTGTTACAATCAGTCACTGCTTTCAGGGTAGGAAGGTAGCACAGTGGGTAGTGGGTTCGCTTGTTACAATCAGTCACTGCTTTCAGGGCAGGAAGGTAGCACAGTGGGTAGTGGGTTCGCTTGTTACAATCAGTCACTGCTTTCAGGGTAGGAAGGTAGCACAGTGGGTAGTGAGTTCGCTTGTTAAAATCAGTCACTGCTTTCAGGGGAGGAAGGTCGATCAGTTGGTAGTGAGTTCGACTCTATGATCAGTATAATCAGAGTTAGACACGGTAGATAGTGGTTTCGAATTCCAACAGGTTGCACAGCGAGTATTACGGTTCGTGGTTAGGTAACACGGTTTCAAAGGTTACAGTTTGTTACTGTCAGCTTTGTAGGGAGGGAAGGTAGCACAGTGGGTGGAGGGTTTGCTAGTTACAATATATCACTGCACTCAGGCTTGGATAGTATACTGAACAAAATAAGTTAGGGACATTGGTATTTTTATGATTGATATTTTGTCAGTGTGTCAATGAATAAATAGATCATTATTCATATGAATCACTGTTTACAAGATTCCAGTTGCTATTAAACCCAATATATCACACGTCAATATAACAATGTCACCACCATAATAGACCCCGTGTACTGTATACCTATATATGGAATGTTCCCAGGGGAGAGTTTCTACCGGTACGATAACGACAACGACAAGGTATTTGAGGGTTACCCCATGAAGATATCGGAAGGGTTCCCGGCAAAGGAGGGCTCGGAAGACCGTATTCCTGACAACCTGGACGCAGTGTTCTTTGACTTGCGAGACAAGAATATCTACTTCTTCAAAGATGAATATGTAAGTGGTCACGTGTAAACTAAAATCTTAAAATTGTCGACTGGCAAACAGTAGTTTAGTACCTTAGTCCGTTTACGTGTATAATGAGAGCGAGTGAGTGAGTTGGGATTTACGCCGCTTTTAGCAATATTCCAGCAATACCACTGCTGGGGGTACCAGAAATGGGCATCACACATTTTACCCATGTGGGGAATCGAACCCTGGCCTTCAGCGTGACGAGCGACCACTTTAACCACTGGGCTACCCCACCCCCCTATAATGAGAATGTGAATGTGATGTAACACCATAACGTTGCCAAATGGACCATCTCTTGTCGGCCCTTCCAGTCTGTGATGAACAGGTGATGACAAATGGGGGAGTGAGTGAGTTTAGTTTTACACCGCTTTTAGCAATATTCCAGCAATATCACGGCGTATGACTCCAGGAATGGGCTTCAAATATTGTACCCATGTGGGGAATCGAACCCGGGTCTTGGCGTGACGAGCGAACACTTAAAGCACTAGGCTACCTCACCGCCCCGATAACAAATGTGAGGAAAGGTGTACTTGTTAATCTCTCCCGACTGATCAACAGATGAACAAAATTAGTATTCTTCATTCCCGAGTTTGATCAACAATTAATTAGAACATAAACCATGGTACGTGTTGACCATTCCCGACTTTGATCAACAATTAATTAGAAATAGGACCAGAGTACGTGTTGACCATTCCCGACTTTGATCAACAATTAATTAGAAATAGGACCAGAGTACGTGTTCACCATTCCCGACTTTGATCAACAATTAATTAGAAATAGGACCAGAGTACGTGTTCACCATTCCCGACTTTGATCAACAATTAATTAGAAATAGGAACAGGGTACGTGTTGACCATGCCCGACTTTGATCATCAATTAATTAGAAATAGGACCAGAGTACGTGTTCACCATTCCCAGCTATTCAGCAGTATATTTAAAATAGGACCAGCGTCCGTGTCGTTCATTCACGGCTGTGTTCAACTGTTAATTAGAAATAGAAACATAGCAGAGTCGGACATCCCCAATTGTGTTCAACCGTTAATGAGAGCTGAGAGCAAAACATTGAAATTGAATGTGCTCAAAAGGTGAAGAGAAATAAGAGTTAAAGGGCACGTGCTGGAGGCAACAGGCCATGCTCAGTGGTTTGTAAGAGCAATGCAGGTGTCTGTGATAGAAAGGCAGACTTGAGAATCCCGCACACGGGCGGCAGCTAGGTGTAAATCAGTTGGAACTGCCAGGGTTCAGTCTTGCCTCTCTCCATTCCTCCATAAGGCAACACCGTTGATATGAGTCATAGGTGTAGAGCGTCTGTTTTGGAGCGCTTAAGCGCTTACTTAGATCTAATCACCAAATAATGAGCTGCTGTAATAATTTCTCCTTTTAGAATTCTCGTTTATACTTTGTTGGTGTCAAAAGCTCGTCGCTGTCGAACACCTCAGGTGTCACTTGTGTTTAAACATTGAAAGATTATTTCATAACACATACAGTGAAATGTCAACGGGGTGCCCTTTTCGGCGCTCTAATTATCTTCATAGAGACTTGCCATCTTCAGCATCTGTATGGTACACGGGGATTTACTCGTACACCTTAGCGTTTAGGGTGAGAGGGGGTCGGGGAGAGCAGAGTTGCAAAGCTCTTTGTTTATAGACGAACGGCGTCGACAGGCACAAGTTTCAAGCCACGCGTGTATGGTGAAACAAACACACCGAACATCTTGGGTTTCTTTTGGACCACCTATGTGTATGAACGTAGGTCTTAAGACGTGTTTCTGTTCAAGTATATACCTGTAAAGAAAGTGGTGAAGGAGTGCATGAGTTGATGTATTTCACCTGTGGCGACCAACTGTCTTAAGTCTGCATGCAATCTGTACGGGAACTGACGCCAAAGAACCGTTCGCAGTGTCATTTGAAAATGGTCCATCGTGGATCTGTGAAAGTAGGTTGTGAACTTCTGACTCTGATAATTAGTGCTTGTTTTCAACAGCTCAATACGTAGCCGGTGACTCACAGGTTCTTGTTATTCCAGGTCTACGTTTATGATCCGAAGGAGCCCGAAGAGACTCGAGGGTGTTGTGTGCGGAAGATGAAAATCGTGGATGAGTATCCCATGAACGATGGGGAGAAACCGCTGCCGGCGACTGTGGACGCCGTGTATTATTCCTACAAGGACAAAGCCATGTACTTTTTTAAAGACGAGGAGTTTTGGCGGAATACGAGGTTTCACCCGAGGATCAAACAAACAAAGAATGCACTGGAATACAGAGGCAAGTGGTACGAAAAGTGGTTCGACATTTGTGACGTCACTGATATGGAGTGAATGACATTGTGACGCCCACTGTGTGAGGACTTCAATTCGAAATGTCACGTGACCCGTATTATAGATGACGTCAACGGTGACCACGAGCACAGATCAGAGGAGCACCTGCCGAAGTCAGGACAGTTCTACAAACGGAGTTCCATTCGAAGCGTCCATACACTTCCGAGACGGATCGCATGTACATACATGATGTCTAGCATAGATCCTGTCTTGGAAACACTGCACGTGCTTCTCGTGCTGAAGAAAGAGCTAGTTGACATATCAGCGGGCTGATGTCATAAACTGCTCATGTGATATATTTTAACGTTCATCTGATTGGTTGTTAGCGTTGATGTGTTGATACTAATGCTTACACGAGGCCGAGGCTTCGCTAGTGCTCGACAAATACCGCAAAGTTGCATGTAAGGACAACGTATGTTGATAAGGCTGGACTGAACATCAACACCAGCCGGACATTGCTTATTTCACTTGGAGTGCGAAGTTCAACACAAAAGGAGCAAGTGTTTTTTTGTACACGTGATCTTATATGAAGTATTTGCCACTTTTATATGATCGAACTGCCAATGTTATATTCAATGTCATATTGTTGCGATATAGCCTTTGAGGCATTATTGACTTGTTAGCATCCAGTAAAGGGCTAGCGTGTCGCGATGTACAAATTGGTCTGTATTTACAAGTACATTCCCCGCTCGCTCTCTCCTTGTTCTTGCTCATGTAGGACAGTTGGAGGTCTGAGATTGACGCCGAAATAGTACGGTTCGGAATGGTGGACGGATGGACGGAAATATGTCAGAGCAGGCTTTTGGTCCTTCTTCAGATCTATGAATTACGCAGCTTTCGATCGTTTAGTTGGTAGGGCCGTAAACAGCCTGTAACGTCGGATCGGGCAAGACGTTGGTGGATATGATTGTCTAGGCTGTGCTAGTGACTAGTGCTGCACACAATGTACAGTAAGAGGCCCTGACCATAGGATGCAGATAATCTTCTTCGTGCTGTACAGTAATTGAGTATGTCTAGTACGTACAGCTTATGGTCAAATTCGTATTTGACTTTGGTGGGTCATGTCAATTGTGAACAATAATTGAGCCTGCCCATAATGATTGGTCGTGGTATTCATGCTTTCGATTGGTCCTTTTGCTGATTCACAGTGATTGGCCTTGCCCATGGCGCGCATAGTGGATGTTCCTTGTGCATTGATTGGTTCTGGTCATGGTGAACCATGATTGGTCGTGTCCACTGAACATTTTGAATATGGTTCTTGACATGTCCATTTTGATTAGCCCTGTTCATTGTGCATATGGATTGGTTCTGTTCATTTGCAAGATGATTGGTTCTGTTCATCGAGAATAGTGATTGGTTCTGTTCTTCATGCCCAGTGATTGGTCCTGTTCAAATACACGGTGGTATGTCCTGTTCATCAACCACGATGATTGGTCCTGTCCATCATACACGGCGATTGGTCCTGTTCATCGTTCACAGTGATTGGTCCTGTTCACAGTGATTGGCCCTGTTCATCGTTCACAGTAATTGGCCCTGTTCATCATGCACAGCGACTTGTCCTGTTCATCATGTACGGTGATTGGTCATGTGCAAGTACTCTGTGGTAGGTCCTGTTCATCAAACACGATGATTGGTCCTGTTCATCATGCACGGTGATTGGTCCTGTTCATCATGCACGGTGATTGGTCCTGTTCATCATGCACGGTGATTGGTCCTGTTCAAATACACGGTGGTAGGTCCTGTTCATCAAGCACGATGGTTGGTCCTGTTCATCATGCTTGGTGATTGGTCCTGTTCATCATGCTTGGTGATTGGTCCTGTTCATCAGGCACGGTGATTGTTCATCAGTCAGTTCATTGATTAGTCCTGTTCATCAAGCGCGGTGATTGGTCCTGTTCATCATGCACGGTGATTGGTCCTGTTCATCATGCACGGTGATTGTCCTGTTCATCATGCACGGTGATTGGTCCTGTTCATCATGCGCGGTGATTGGTCCTGTTCATCATGCACGGTGATTGGTCCTGTTCATCATGCACGGTGATTGGTCCTGTTCATCATGCACGTGATTGATCATGGTCCTGTTCATCATGCACGGTGATTGGTCCTGTTCATCAGGCACGGTGATTGGTCCTGTTCATCATGCACGGTGATTGGTCCTGTTCATCATGCGGTGATTGGTCCTGTTCATCATGCACGGTGATTGGTCCTGTTCATCATGCACGGTGATTGGTCCTGTTCATCATGCACGGTGATTGGTCCTGTTCATCATGCACGGTGATTGGTCCTGTTCATCATGCCTCGGATGATTGGTCCTGTTCATCATGCTCGGTGATTGGTCTTGTTCATCATGCACGGTGATTGGTCCTGTTCATCAGGCACGGTGATTGGTCCAGTTCATTAAGCGCGGTGATTGGTCCTATTCATCGTGCACGGTGATTGATTGTTCATCATGCGCGGTGGTAGGTCCTGTTCATCATGCGCGGTGATTGGTCCTGTTCATGGGTAGGAATACTGGTAGTGTGGTTCACGAAAGAACCGTTCGTATGTTGAAAAGGCTTTGTCGCAGTCGGCTACTCACAATCTTTATGTACATGGTTTCACTTGTATTAAGACGTCTATATATATTTTGCATATTGTGTCAGCTGGTCCGATGTTTTTGTTATTCATCCTATAACAATCACCCTTCCTTGCTCCATATTTTTATTTCATTCTAACGTTAGTCAAAGATACTTAACATTTCAGAAGTACAACATGGTTGAATCAGCGTTGCTTGTTATTCTGCGCTGTCTTAAGTCATCCTCATGTTACAAGTCAAAACAGCAAGTGTAGCGTCTAGGATGGTTGCTGTGTTGCAGGAATTGCGTTGCTGATATGTAAATATACTCAAAACGTAAAGATATCGCTGTAGTGTACGAGAAACGTTTCAGTCAGTATTAGCTCGAAATCATCGCGCACATAAAGCCAAAGATATTGTTGGAAAATGTACAGTGATAGTGTAACACTATGGCGCAGCACGGGGCACAGCTTTAAAGGGAGACGCACGTTATGTACATATCTAGTGCACGCATTGGAAACCCCTCCACTTGCATGGACACATTAAGGCCCTAGTTGACACTCGTGCAACACGTGTGTGCACGTCCCAAGACCACAACCGTAGTTTTCACGTGACTTTGAGTGCTATGAGAATAGCTGGGGCTTCACACGTATGCAGATGGCCTTGGTGCGGGCGTCTGGTTGAGCACGAGAAATAATTGTAAGTCTTGCATTCACGTGAGGAATCGCCCTAGCGTTCTTGCTCTTCTGCATATGTACAAGTGACGAAATCTTAAGCGGATATGCACGTGCATGCACGTGTACGCTGTTTATGTCAAACCCGCCATTTGAGCAGGGCCATGCCTGCTGAAAACCTACTTATCATAATTTATAAACTGTTATGTTTTTATATTTTAATTTTGTTATGTGTACATTTCGGGATGATATTTATTACAATAGTTCTTGTGAGCATGCGTGCTTGCCACTTTGAGCATGCTTACCGGAAAACTATTTTTGTAGCCATTTCGTCATAAGTTCATTACCGTTCCGATGTGATGTGTTTAGTTGATGTGTCAGCTATGACCTGTTGACTATTTGCCGTCTAATTTATGACCAAACCATTGTCCAACCGTCATGTCCACCGCCACCTGGTCAGTGATGTTCGCATCTGTAAACGTCACGTGATCAGTGTCATACGCATATATGTTCATCACGTGAACGGTGTCTTGCGCATATGTGTACGTCACGTGATCAGTGTCATGCGCATGTGTACATCACGTGACCAGTGTCATGCGCATCTGTGTACGTCACGTGGTCTGTGTCATGCGCATCTGTGTACGTTACGTGATCTTTGTCATGCGCATCTGTGTACATCACGTGATCAGTGTCATGCGCATCTGTGTACGTCACGACGATCTGTCATTCAAATAAATGTTTGCCTATTCGTACAACCCCAGTGTTCGTTCCTTTTTGCTAGACATCTTCCATTGCGATGACCAGCTTATCTTCAATTGATATCAGACGTTTTGAAAAGATTGATTACAATAATTGGTTCTGTCATCGGTCATACACCAATGAAAAGAACATAATTAGAATGTCATCTCCATTGGGTAAATCTATGACAACATGGATTCCTATTGAGGTGATTTTGTTGTGATATATCTGACACAGAAATGTAGAACAATTCGGAAAACATCAAAAGTGTTCAGAATAAGTGAGTGAGTGAGTGAGTTTAGTTTTACGCCGCACTCAGCAATATTCCAGCTATATGTAAATAATCGAGTCTGACCCAGGCAATCCAGTGATCAACAGCATGAGCATCGATCTGCGCAATTGGGAACCGATGACATGTGTCAACCAAGTCAGCCAGCCTGACCCACCCGATCCCATTAGTCGTTGTTCACAGTAAAGGCAGACACATCGGAATGACACCATTGAAGCATATCGCAGTTTCAATAAGGAAAGTGTTATCTACTTGTAATCCTGCTGCTGCAACTGCTCCAATACAACATCTACCACTACTGCTCCATTACAACATCTACCACTACTTCTCCAATACAACATCTACCACTACTGCTCCATTACAACAACTACCACTACTGCTCCATTACAACATCTACCACTACTGCTCCATTACAACATCTACCACTACTGCTCCAATACAACATCTACCACTACTGCTCCAATACAACAACTACCACTACTGCTCCATTACAACATCTACCACTACTGCTCCATTACAACAACTACCACTACTGCCCCACTACAACGACTACCACTACTACTCCGTTACAACAACTACCACTACTGCTCCATTACAACATCTACCACGACAGCTCCATTACAACAACTACCACTACTACCACTACTGCTCCATTACAACATCTACCACGACTGCTCCATTACAACAACTACCACTACTGCTCCATTACAACATCTACCACGACTGCTCCATTACAACATCTACCACTACTGCTCCATTACAACAACTACCACTACTGCTCCATTACAACATCTACCACTACTGCTCCATTACAACATCTACCACTACTGCTCCATTACAACAACTCTACCACTACTGCTCCATTACAACATCTACCACTACTGCTCCATTACAACATCTACCACTACTGCTCCATTACAACAACTACCACTACTGCTCCATTACAACATCTACCACTACTGCTCCATTACAACATCTACCACTACTGCTCCATTACAACATCTACCACTACTGCTCCATTACAACATCCACCACTACTGCTCCATTACAACAACTACCACTACTGCTCCATTACAACATCTACCACTACTGCTCCATTACAACAACTACCACTACTGCTCCATTACAACAACTACCACTACTGCTCCATTACAACATCTACCACTACTGCTCCACAACAACTACCACTACTGCTCCATTACAACAACTACCACTACTGCTCCATTACACAGCTACCACTACAAACAACTACCACTACTGCTCCATTACAACATCTACCACTACTGCTCCATTACAACAACTACCACTACTGCTCCATTACAACATCTACCACTACTGCTCCATTACAACATCTACAACTACTGCTCCATTACAACATCTACCACTACTGCTCCATTACAACATCTACAACTACTGCATTACTACCACTACTGCTCCATTACAAATCAACTACACTACTGTCCATTACAACAACTACCACTACTGCTCCATTACAACAACTACCACTACTGCTCCATTACAACAACAACATACCACTACTGCTCCATTACAACAACTACCACTTGCTCCACAACAACTACCACTACTGCTCCACATATTACAACACCATCTACTGCTCCATTACAACAACTACTACTCTACCACTACTGCTCCATTACAACATCTACCACTACTGCTCCATTACAACAACTACCTACTACTACTCCATTACAACAACTACCACTACTGTTCAACATCTACCACTACTACTCCATTGCACAACCACTACCACTACTACTCCACTTCCACAACTACCACTACTGCTCCATTACAACAACTACCACTACTGTTCCATATACATCACAACTACCACTACTGCTCCATTACAACTACCACTACTGTTTCATTACAAATAACTACCACTACTGCTCCATTACAACAACTACCACTACACTCCCATTATTACAACATCTACCACTACTGCTCCATTACATTGCAACAACATTACTGCCTACATGTAACCTACTACTACTGACTGTTCCATTACAACAACTACCACTACTTCTCCATTACAACATCTACCACTACTGCTCCATTACAACAACTACCACTACTCCTCCATCACAACATCTACCACTACTGCTCCATTACAACATCTACCACTACTGCTCCATTACAACAACCACTACTGCTCCATTACTGCTCCTACTGTTACAACATCTACTAACATACAACTTCCATTACAACAACTACCACTACTGCCTCCATTACATAACATCTACCCCTACTGCCCAATTACCACTACTGCTCCATCACAACAACATCTACCACTACTGCTCCATTACAACATCTACCACTACTGCCTCCATTACAACATCTACCACTACTGCTCCATTACAACATCTACCACTACTGCTCCATTACAACATCTACCACTACTGCTCCATTACAACATCTACCACTACTGCTCCAATACAACACTACCACTACTACTCCTACTTACAACATCTACCACTACTGCTCCATTACAACAACTACCACTACTGCTCCATTACAACATCTACCACTACTGCTCCATTACAACATCTACCACTACTGCTCCATTACAACATCTACCACTACTGCTCCATTACAACATCTACCACTACTGCTCCATTACAACAACTACCACTACTGCTCCATTACAACAACTACCACTACTGCTCCATTACAACAACTACTGCTCCACTACTACTGCTCCACAACATCTACTGCTCCATTACAACTACCACTACTGCTCCATTACAACATCTACCACTACTGCTCCATTACAACATCTACCACTACTGCTCCATTACAACATCTACCACTACTGCTCCATTACAACATCTACCACTACTGCTCCATTACAACATCTACCACTACTGCTCCATTACAACATCTACCACTACTGCTCCATTACAACATCTACCACTACTGCTCCAATACAACAACTACCACTACTGCTCCATTACAACATCTACCACTACTGCTCCATTACAACAACTACCACTACTGCTCCATTACAACAACTACCACTACTGCTCCATCACAACATCTACCACTACTGCTCCATTACAACAACTACCACTACTGCTCCAATACAACAACTACCACTACTGCTCCATTACAACATCTACCACTACTGCTCCATTACAACATCTACCACTACTGCTCCATTACAACATCTACCACGACTGCTCCATTACAACATCTACCACTACTGCTCCATTACAACAACTACCACTACTGCTCCATTACAACAACTACCACTACTGCTCCATTACAACAACTACCACTACTGCTCCATTACAACATCTACCACTACTGCTCCATTACAACATCTACCACTACTGCTCCATTACAACATCTACCACTACTGCTCCATTACAACATCTACCACTACTGCTCCATTACAACAACTACCACTACTGCTCCATTACAACAACTACCACTACTGCTCCATTACAACAACTACCACTACTGCTCCATTACAACAACTACCACTGACTGCCCCATTACAACATCTACCACTACTGCTCCATTACAACAACTACTACTACTGCTCCATTACAACAACTACCACTACTGCTCCATTACAACATCTACCACTACTGCTCCATCACAACATCTACCACTACTGCTCCATTACAACAACTACCACTACTGCTCCATTACAACATCTACCACTACTGCTCCATTACAACATCTACCACTACTGCTCCATTACAACATCTACCACTACTGCTCCATTACAACATCTACCACTACTGCTCCATTACAACATCTACCACTACTACTCCATCACAACATCTACCACTACTGCTCCATCACAACATCTACCACTACTACTCCATTACAACAACTACCACTACTGCTCCATTACAACATCTACCACTACTGCTCCATTACAACATCTACCACTACTGCTCCATTACAACAACTACCACTACTGCTCCATTACAACAACTACCACTACTGCTCCATTACAACATCTACCACTACTACTCCATTACAACATCTACCACTACTGCTCCATTACAACATCTACCACTACTGCTCCAATTACAACATCTACCACTGCTGCTCCATTACAACATCTACCACTACTACTCCATTACAACATCTACCACTACTGCTCCATTACAACATCTACCACTACTGCTCCATTACAACATCTACCACTACTGCTCCATTACAACATCTACCACTACTGCTCCATTACAACATCTACCACTACTGCTCCATTACAACAACTACCACTACTGCTCCATCACAACATCTACCACTACTGCTCCATTACAACAACTACCACTACTGCTCCATTACAACAACTACCACTACTGCTCCATTACAACATCTACCACTACTGCTCCATTACAACAACTACCACTACTGCTCCATCACAACATCTACCACTACTGCTCCATTACAACAACTACCACTACTGCTCCATTACAACAACTACCACTACTGCTCCATTACAACAACTACCACTACTACTCCATTACAACAACTACCACTACTGCTCCATTACAACATCTACCACTACTGCTCCATTACAACAACTACCACTACTGCTCCATTACAACAACTACCACTACTGCTCCATTACAACATCTACCACTACTGCTCCATTACAACAACTACCACTACTGCTCCATCACAACATCTACCACTACTGCTCCATTACAACAACTACCACTACTGCTCCATTACAACAACTACCAC